ACTGATGTGCTACCAGAGAAGCAAAGATGGTTCCAGGGACCATCTCACATAGTCTGTGACTTGACCACCCCTTTTGGTACAGGCCTACCTGCAGACCCCCATCCCCTCCAGCATCTAGGAGACCAACACCTTCACACCACCATTACCACCACATCCTTTTTGCCTGCAGAGTCAGCCCCTGCCCCGTGCCTCGGTGGGGAGGCAGGCACTGGCTCCCCAAAGGTCTGGGGCATGTTTGCTGCCTCACTCTATTTTTCCTTTCACCCGTGAAGTGACCTGCCCAGAAACCTCACATTGTGCTAGACCATCAACTGAAAATCCAACCCAAGGCTGCCTTGAGCAGGGAGGGTCCTCACAGCCCTCAGACCACACTTGATGGCTCAGTGCAGAGCCACATAAAAGCCAGGAGCAGCGGCAATGCAGCCACACAGCTCTGCCTTGATGCACAGAGGTTTGCTGAACCCCAGCAGCTGGGCTGAGGTTCTGGCAAACCCCATCCCTCATGTCCTCACTGGGCTGGAGGCAGAGCAGCCCCCCAGAGGAGCAGAGACACCCCCTTTATCCACTCCTGGCGCTGCACTGAGGGGGTTCTGCTCACCTCTTCTTGTCTGGGAATGGCAAGGCCTCGAAGATCTCTTTGTAGTTTTCCAAGACGAATTTTAGTCTATTATGTGAGTATTTTAAAATCTGGTCCCAGCACTGTAAAGACAGTGTATTAAAAAGAAAAAAAAAAAGCACAAAACCACTTGAAGTTGTCAATTTCCACTTAATTCAGGTTCGGGCCCAAACCTGATGCATTCACACGTGGCCCTTTTTTTTTTAAATACTCGTTGCATTAAAATACACCAAAAATCTTGCTTAGTGCCCAGAATTTAAGGATGACATTTTAGCATAGAGATAAGGGTTCTGTCTTTCTCTCTACACTGCTTTATTGATTGTGGAAAGGCTCCTTTTATCCAGTTATTAAAACACCCTTTGTCAAGAAAGATTACTAAAAAAGGACTTTTCCCAAACAGTTTATACTCCCCATTCTTTTCTCTGTGATCAACAGCAGGAGAAGTATCTTTGACAACAACACTAGCCCCCAGATATGCTCTGGCACCCTTCTCACCCTACCAGAGCCTGCCCCATCAATCCTAGCATCCCTTTTCTCCTCATCCAGCCAGATTTAGCACTGCTTTGGAGCCTCTAAATCCCATCTCAGCCTTGTCCCTGCATGTAACCATCCCTCTTCTGCCCCATCCCGCACTAGGATTCCTCTCTGTATCCAAGTAATACACATTTTCCTGTGCCTAGACAGGAGGGGAAGCCCTGAGGTTTGGGTTCCATCTCCTCACCTCCCTGAATATTTTGGTGAGCTTTTCGGAGCAATCTCCATAGCGCAGGCTCATGTCCACGGTGTAGGTGCTGATGGCCACGCAGCCGCCCGGCCTCACCACCCGCTGCGCTTCCCTCATGAACTTCTCTATGTCAAACCAGTGCGCGGCCGTGAACGAGGTCAGGACGTCCACAGAGGCGTCCTGGAACGGCAGCTCCTCTGCAGGGCACATGCTGGGAGCGGGAAGGAAAAAAAGACATCTGTGATACGGGAATCAGAGGGTAGGACATGAAGCCAGTGGGTATGTTTTGGAGGCCATGAGGACAGACCATGGCTACTGGAAGTGTAGGATAATGCCTGTTCACCTCGGGAATTCCATCAAATAGGGCTTTCTTTGGTGCCAGCTGGGTCTTACAACAACCATACTCACAAAACACCACTTCCATGTAAGGACCCAAATTTTGCCTTTGTCTGAGCTCACTCCCCCGACACTCACAGGTAGGAGACATTGGGCATGGAGGAGGTGTCCTTGGCCTCCTGGATCTGTGCTTCGCTGATGTCTGTCCCCACCACCTTCTTGAAGTGCTCCGCAAGGAAGCGGGTGCCTTGTCCGGACCCACAGCCAACGTCCACTACCAGCTCACCAGGGATTGCCTTCTGGGGGGAGAAGGAGATGTGTCTCAGTGGGCAGCCACCCAGTTTTTGGGCTTTTACCCCATTGCTTCCCACAGCATCCACTCAGGAATAGCCTTGGCATGGCAGAACCTGTGGAAGGCCTCTCCTGTGCCCCCATCTTGCCTTGAGCCCTGCTGATTTATCATTCCCCGTGGTACCAATCAAGGTAACACTCCCAGCAAGGTAAATACTACCACCCACAAATAAAGATATCCTCCAACCTGGCCATACCCCACTCACCTTTTCCTGCAGGTAGGCAAGGATGGTTTGCTGCAGCTCTTTGCCCGGTGCAAACCTGTATTTCTGGTAAACGGCCGCATGGCCTTTGCCCTCAAACATCTGGGTGGTCATGCTTGGATAACCTGGCACCTGGGAAGAGGAAGGAAGCCGGGTTTGTCACTACGGGATCAAATTCTTGCTGCCTACTTGGTTTGTGACCGCAGGCACTAAAGCCTCAAGTTCCTGGCGGGGCCCCGGGAGGACTTTGCCCATGAGGCTCCGGGCAGGGGAGTGTGAAGCTGCTCTCTGAGAATCCCTCCCACGGCTGTGAGCCAATCCCAGGAGAAAACCAGCAGCTTTCCGATGCGGAAAAGCTTTCCAGGTTTTTAAGCACTCCTTACTCCTTTGCTTTCCCCACCTCCCCCGGGTGTTTTCTGAAATAAATCACCATTACAGTAGAACACTTTGGGTTTCTTTTTTGTGGGAGGTTTCTTTGAAGGTGTTTTTTTGTTTTGTTTTTTTTTTTTCTTTTAAGGAAACTCATGTTTTAGAATTGACAACACAATCACGACAACTCGACCCTGTGCTTTCTCAACCACCTGGTATTTTTTTGCCTCTCACGGACACGGCACAGGGCGTTCCCTGGCTCGCCCACCAATGTGTCCCCCCCGTGATGCTCCGGACCGCCCAGTCCCCGCACGCCCCGGGCGGTCCCGGCGGCCAAGCGCGCTGCCCGGGCCCGTCCCGCCGCACCGGAAGGCTCTCGGCCGTATCCTGTTTGTCTCGGTGCCCGAGCAGGCGCCGTGCGGGACAGCGACAGCTCCCTGGGCGGGGGGCACACCCCAAGAACCTGCCAGAAGGGCTCCCTGCCCCGTCTGACGGGACCCAACGCCCTCTCTGTGCCCACAGCGAGCGGGGTGGGCAGAGCGACGCGAGAGCTGCGAGTTTGTCCAGCGACACACAAACACATCGGACAACCAAGGGTTATTCTGCCTTGGGTGCAGGAAGAGATGCTCAACCAGCGCAGGGCTGGAGCTCCCAGCAGGGAGCAGCAGCGCTTCCAAAGCCCTTTCTGGAGGGATCCTCCAGCTGCTTTCTAAGCGCTCAGTGGAGCCTCCTTTCCCCAGCCCCCCCGCGCCGCCCCCCGCCCTTACCGCCGACGGCTCCCGCTGCCTCTCGGTGCGGAGCTCCGGGCCGGGACAAAGGGGAGGAAAGGAGGGCGATGGCCAGCACCGCCCCCGGTACCTACCGCCCGCCCCGCAGCTCCTCCCTGCCCGGCCGGAGCGGAGCTGGGGGGTAAAATCCAGAGGGCAGCTTCCAGAGGCTCATCCCGCCGAGATGCTGGAGCCCCAGAGCCTTAGGCTTTACTCAGCTCTGTAGTTACTAATTACAGAGAGCTTTCAAAATGCCCACGGATCCCGGGGGTCCCTCAGCAGCTCCCACATCTCGGGACACGGATACAGAGCCCAGAAGATGCTTACAAGGTAGCAGGAGAACATAATGCAAAGCTGCGGACAGCCAAAGCCATACCTACAGCGCTCTGTCTGCGCTGAGAGCCCCTCCTATCGTCCAGCGGAAAGAGAATATGTAGAAACAGAGTCCCCTGCATCATCTTGAAGAGCACAGAGCATGGTATCTCAGGAGTAGGCAATCTGCCCTGATTTGGGGCAGGATTTTACCCCTTTGCTAAGAGTAAAGCCAGTGAATCATGGTTCACGGGAAGCACTCAGTTTGTACTCTGTACAGCAGTCGTGGGTCTGTGCTAACTAGCACAGCCTTAAAGCCCCTCCTAACTTTAGGAGAAATTCATTCAGTTTGCTGAATCAAAGCATGCGTTGGAGTTACTGGGTTTGTGTCCGGAGTGTTTTATTTGGGTCACCTGCTGCTTAATCCTGCCAGGGGTGGTACCTGGACCAAGAGAACATACTTCACAAGCACCAAAGGTCCCTCTGTTTTCATAACCCAGCCTTTTGAGGGTTTAGATACCCTAAGTTTGCCTGTATTTGCTGAGAGCATGACTGCAGACAGGAAGGGATGGTGTCCTGGGCTTCAGTCAGCTGCCCTCTTCTGAACTCAGAGGTCCATGGGCTGCTCTCCTGGGCAATGCACGGGTGGTATTTAGCTGATTATCCTCTGGTTACTGAGACCAAACACCTGCAGTGCAGAGGCTGCAAATGGCACCAGTCCTTTGCTAGCTCTCCCAGCCTTTGGCACACTGGATTCAGCTGCCTTTGACTCCCTATTCCAACTCTCTTGTATTCCCCAAGTGACAGTGAATCTCCAATGGCCCTGCACCATACAGCAATAAATTGGTCTTCCAAACATGAGTTTAAACACCAGGCACAGAGAATCAGACACTGTCCATCATCCCTACCAGCCCACTCAATAAATGCACAGACTTTAAGGAATGTCAAAGTGCCCTGGGGTCTTCCCAACTTGTTCCCCAAACCTACAGGCCATGTGGATTTGAATTATGTAGCAGGGTCCTGGATTAACAGACCTCCCAACTCTGACCTTAATGCAGAAAAGGAGCATTTAAGATCCTTCATCCCTCCCCACCTGCTCTCCTGAAGTCTTGTGCCTGGTGGCTCTGCCCCCTCCCCACCTTTGTGCCTGTGCAGAATGCAGTGGCAAAACAGCTCCCAGAACTTTGCTTTTCCAAACAGGATCACCAAGCCAAGCCCTAACCTTATCAATGGCCAGGAGACAATTCCTGTCCTTGGGATATAGCAAGCAAACAAAAAACCACAATCTATTTTAGGGAAAAAAGCTCAAAGGAGACTCCTGTCAGTTTGCCTGTGTCACTTGTTGATATTTTTCACCAACAGCACCATGGTTTCCACAGCACTGAAATGTCTCATCTTGATATGGAAAAAGCCACTTTGTTTGTATTCCTGTGGTTCATTTCACTGCACATCAGTTAATATTATACTGAATTCTTTTCATCCCAGGGAAAGAGTGCTGCATCCTGAAAACAAAACAGCTGACATCCCCTCAGCCAGATGCTTTGATATTGCTGAAGATTCCCTTTCCCCTCCTACCTTGTGAGGAAGAGCTGCTCTGTTTTATCCAGAGTACAGATGTCCCTCTCAGCCCAAGCCTGGCTCTGTAACTGTGTTCATGCTGTCCTCAGCAATAACTTTCTGGCAGAAAAATCTTCCCTAATTTCACCTGGAGAACACTTAGCTGGCTTCTTTTCCTGCAGCTACAAAACATGTTACAAGCTTCATAAACACCTTCTAATTAATTATGTCTATTGCTCAAATGGAAAACTAATTCTTGTTAATTTTCTGGCTCAAACACTGCCAGACACACCACACTGCATTTTTCAGAGGGTCTCCCAATTTTAGAGGATCTGAGAACTAAAACAATTTATACAAAGTCTTGCTCAGCGGGTTCAATTCTTCCCCTTCTCTGTGGATAATCCTCTACCTGGAAAACACTCCAGGTCTCACCTTCCCACACCTGTCTGGAGGACTTTCAGAAAAACCCTCAGCTCTGACCAACTGCATCAGAGCTGCCCCTTTGGCCAGGCCTTTAAACACAGACCTTAAAGTGGCAGCAATTCCATAGCCCACAGCCCTCGGCCCCCGCCCTGCATCCTGCCCATGGGAGGAGGGTGAAGGAGGGGACATGATGACCTTCATGTCTGGGCAGAGCAGTGCCATGAAATGTGCAACCCTGTTTTTAGACAATCTGAACGCCAGGCAAGTCCCCAAGAACATCTGGGATAAGCAGGGTTCCAGCACACGCACACTGGAACCACCATGGCTGCTTGTGGTGAGCTGCAGGACATTATCCTGGGGAAAGAAATCCAGGCCCAGTGTGTGCATGAAGGAATGTGCTGTGCCTACCCCGATGGGAGCCCTGGTGATGTCCGGGGCCTTATTTGACCCGACTCTGCTCTGACTCCCCAGCAGCACCTGTGGGAGGTGCTGAGCCCCCTCCTGCGCCGCACTGGCCTTGTGGCACCAAACCCTGCAGATGCATTGTGTGCAGCGTGGAGCGAAAGGAAGAGCAGGCAAATTGCCCTGTATTATTGTTGTTTATTACCCTCTTGCATTAAATTCACAAATTTAATTGTTTTAAATTTCATTTCAGCTTTGATTCACTCGGCAGCTCCTTGCCAGGCCACACTGAAGGGAGGATACCCAAAGGGCTGGACAGGCTTGGGTCAACCTCCCCATCCCCAGGATCCCAAGAAGAAGCCGGTGATACTTCTCTTACCTTGTGAAAAACTTGATTTGCTTTTAAGATCTTAATAAGGCTTCAGCTCTTAGGAGATTTTCCCCTGTTTATTTGTTCTCTTATGGAAAAGGAACAAGATTTATTATCACAATGAGGAATAAAGGGATAGGAAAATATTTGGTATTTCTATGAGGATCTTTTTTAAACCTAGAGAGCCCAGACCTTAAATTAATGAAGAACATAATTCTCTTGGCTTACAAGCAGCAAGGCATGGATAAAATCTCCTTGTAGGGAAGGGGGTTAGCCACAAATTAAGGATGTCTCAGCTGATTGCACAGCTGTGTGTTAGAGCTGTGCCTCAAGGTCTTGGCTGGGACTGGGGCTGGGACTGGGGCTATCCCTACCTGCTCCCTGGCAGCTCTGGAAAAATCAGTGCTTATGTGAAAAAAGAGCCCAGATGAATGAGACCCCCAGAGGATCAACCAGAGAGGGAGATGGAAATCTCTGCAGCTGTGACTATTTCTGGGTAACTGCATCTGCGCCCGTGCAATTGCCGGATCCTTGCAATTGTAGCCGGCATGTCGGCTGGTTATTGTCGTGCTCAAGCACACAAAAGGCTGGGGGAGAAATAAGGGCAGGCAGGGGCATGCTCAAGGGCAGGGGAGGAAGCCTGCAGAGGAGAGCGCCCTTGACTTTGAAATCCTGCCTTGCCCCTTAGCTCATCCGGCCATAAATCCTTCCTGATGGAATGATTGATGTGCAGTGCGTGTGGAGCTGGGAGCCCAGGCTGAGAGTAAAGCCCCAGCACTGGGATCTTCCAGAAACAATAAAAACAAGTCCTTCTTACATAATGTCACCTTTTAACTAAGGAAGATGGATTTTGGGGCTGATGAATTAATTGAAATTTAGAAGTCACCTGAGAATCCGTGGCAGAGGACCCTGAGATCTCCCATTCCCCATGCAGGGTCCAGAGGCTCCCCCATTGCTTCCCGGCTCATCTTCCCTCTTTACTTGCTGACAAAGCAACACCACCAGCATATCACTGTCTCCTGTTCATCTGTAACTGCACAGCCATTGATCTCTCGTTGCCTGATGGCCTTAAACAGCCTGAACACATCAACTCGCCCTGGTGGCACCACACAGTGCTGCTGCCTCTTGGCCCAGGGGGTTCCCCAGGTGCCTGCACAAAAGCATGAGATGATGATTTTGGTGTTTTGGGCACAGCCGGTTCCCGATGGGATGCTGCCAGTCCTGTCAGATTTACTGCACTCCTGGCTTTTGCCATTGAAATTTGTCACCATCCCAATGCAGCAACTTGGAGAGAGGGCTCGGGGGGATTTCTCTTCTCCTTACCAGAAATGTGTATTTTTGGGCATAGAGAGGGACAGAGGGCTCAGTCTTCAGCGCTTTTTGGAGAGCATCAGATGTGCAGACTGAGGTTAAACACCTCAGACCGTCCTGCAATAGCTGAGCACCTCCACACACTTCAACCTTCAGCTTCAGCCCCTGCATTTCGGGTTCCCAGGAGTCTCCTACCTCCTGTCTCCTCTGGTGGGTACAGAGTCAGAGAGGGAAGGTGAGTCCATGGAAGGAAACCACCACTGATTCTGCCTGGGTTTGTGGGTGATGTTCTTTTAGGGCATTTTGCAGTGCTGTGACAGAATGGTTGTGCCTCCTTTAGCCCAGCACTTCATTATCCAGCGCTCCTGGGTGTCCAAGAGAACACGATCCCCTGCTGATCGATTAAAATTTCTGGAATTAAAAAGAGGAAGAGAAACGTGAGCACGGATTGATCTTATTTCACCTTTCCTCGCGTGCACAGGCTGGAGGATATATGATGATATAGTAGATGATATTATTATATCTGCTGACATAAGGAAAAATAATCCAGTGGTGTTGGGAAGCTGCTGTAGTAAAATTAAATAACTCTTGGGGACATACGTGGTCAAACCAGACTTGGGTCTGGCTGATGCCTGATGGGCTTTTCTGAAATGCAAACAAATCTGTGGCGATTAAATGAGATCCAAGACCATCTTAATTCAGAGTTTAAGCTCTTTCTTCTTGGGATCCCAGCTAGGCACGTGATAGGAACATTCATTGTAAGACAAGGAGAAATAAAGGGGAAGGGAGCAATATTTTAGGTTCTTCTCTCCTTCCTCCAAAAGTCCCTGCACCAAGAGACAGCCGGGTCCATCATCCCCTGCCCATTTTCCATTGCAGTTCTCAGGATCACAGCCCTGTGTCCCAAAAGCCAAGTGGGAACAAACCTGGAAGTGTAGTGATTCAGGGGGCTGGAAAGGGGGAATTTTTGGTTCTGGCCATGACGTGCTGGCCAGGGATGGTCTGTGTCTGGTGGCGCGAGGGCTGGAGGCTGCAAATGCTGTGCAATGTGGCATCAAGGAGGGTGCAGGGGGGCACAGAAGGGTGCAAGAGGGTGCAGCAGGGTGTGGGAGGGTGTGTGAGGATGCAGGAAGGTGAGGGAGCATGGGGAAGGGTGTGGGAGGATACAAGAGGGTGCATGAGGACCCTCTTGGAGGGTGTGGGAGGATGTGGGAAGGTGCAGGGTGTGCACGAGGACGCAGTGGGATGGAGGAGGGCACTTGGGGATGTAAGAGGGTACAGGAAGGTGCAGCAGAGAACAGAAAGGTACAGGAAGGTGCTTCAGGATGCAGAAGGGTACTGCAGGGGAGAATGCAGGGGAGTGCAGGAGAATGCAGGAGGAATGTGCAGCAGGGTACAGGAGGGTGCAGGAACACGCAGGAGGAAGATGCAGGAGGAAGGTGAAGGTGGATGGTTCAAAGAGGATGCAGAAGGGTGCAGGAAGATGCAGGAGGGTGCAGGTGTTTGCAGAGGGGTGCGAGAAGATGCAGGAGGAAGGTGCAGGAGGGTACAGCAGGATGCAGGACAAAGATGCAGGAGGGCGGCCCCAGAAGGATGCAGGAGGGCGCAGCAGCCCGTCCCTGAGCCGCCGGCGGGGGCCGGGCCGTGCGGGCAGGGCGGCGGGGGCGGTGCGGAGCCCGGCCCGGCCCCGCTGCGGGGGAGGGCCCGCCCGGGCCGGCCCGCCCTGCCCGGCTCTCCGGCGGCGCCGATGGGGCTGCGGGCCTGGCTGCGATCGCTCGGCGGCTGCTGCGGCTGCTGCGGCGGGGAGGCGGCGCCGCCCGAGAAGGAGCCCCTGCTAAGGTGAGACCCCGGCCCGGCCCCGCGGCGGGGGATGCGCCCACCCCGGTCCCCCGCTCCCCAGTCTGGCGTGAGCCCCGCTGTGCCCAGACCCGCTCCCAGCGCTGTCACTGGGGCTGGACATCCCCTGCCGGGGCGCTCAGGGCGCCTGAGGGATCTTCCCCCGGCGGGAACGAGCAGCTTCCCGTGCCCTTTCCGCCTGGGTTGGCTGCCGCAGGGGCTGAGTTCCTCCTGCCAGCCCACGGCGCGATGCCCCCCGGGATGCTGAGGCACCCGGCGAGGGGTGTTCTACGGGGAAGGTTTAGGGAGTGAATCGAGAGCGGCATCTCTTCGGTGTTCCCCGTGATGCCCGTCCACAGGGACGGTCCAGCGCTTGTCTTTCCATGGTGGGATTTCAATAGAGGAGGATGAGGCACTGAACAAAAAGGGATCAGGTCCCATCGTTAGGCAGCTCTGTGCTTTGTAGAGCTCAGTTCCCGGGTCGGGATCGTAGAATCATGGAATGATTTGAGTTCGAAGGGACCTAGAAGATGATCTTGTTCCATCCCTGTGTCACCAGGTTGCTCCAAGCCCTGTCCAACCTGGCCTTGGACACTTCCAGGCATGGGGCAGCCACAGCTTCTCTGGGCAACCTGTGCCAGGGCCTCACCACCTTCACACAGGGAGGAGTTTCTTCCAAGCATCTGAGCTAAATCTCTCCTCTTTTAGTTTAAAACCGTTCCCCCTTGTCCTATCACTATCTGCCCGTGTAAATTGTCACTCACCCTCTTTTTTACAAGCCCCCTTAAGAAGTGGAAGGGGCTCCAAAGTCTCCCTGGAGCTTTTTCTTCTCCAGGTTGAACAACCCCAGCTCTCAGCCTGTCTCCATCCAGGGATGCTGGAGAGGAGATGAGGATGCAGAGCCGGAGCCGGCTGTATGTGAGAGCTGCCCGTGCTGATCTCCAGGGAGCAGATCTTTCTCCCGCTGTCGGTCGCATCTGCTTTGTGCACAGAGACGCTGACGTTGGGGGGTTGTATGAAAAGATAAAGCCCCGAGTCGTGGAGAAGAGCCGTGAGCTGTGGAAGAATGTGAGGAGAGTCTGCATGTTGCAAAACACCCATGCAGTAGGTTTGTGGCACCTCTCCCTCCCTCCCCAGCTCCCAGGCATGGTCTCAGCACCACCAGTGGGTATCCCAGCCCGGGGAGGGGGCAGGGACCGTGCCCTCCCTGCGTCATCGGTGCGACAGAAGCATTTCAAGGGGAGTGTGGGATGCTCCCGGTGTGCCCTACATAGGTGTCAGGTAACAGCAGAGCTGGTGACAGGGCTTGAAACGTCCTGATTTCGCGCTGTTAAAGCAGTTACCTAAATAATAACCAGATAATCCCGAGCATGAGGTCTCCAGCCCAGGAAATTGGCATTAAGCTACCGGGAGCTGAGCACACGTGTGGAGAAGCTCCTTCCTGGGGCCACAGTGGCTGTCCCTCACCTGGCTCCTTTCTTTAGTAACACGCCTTCCACTGGCGATCCAATTAATGCTGGCTATAAGTAGGAAAGCCTCTATAAATTCTGGGAATTCTAAAGGCACCTGCTCCTGTACAAGTGTGCCGGCATAATTACTCTAACAGCCTAATCACTGACTTGTCCCTCCTCGGGAGGCTTTTGGGTTTTATTTCATAGCAGGCATCTTGCAATAGCTTCCTGGCTCTATTTTTATTTTTACTTCAACTTTGTTTAAAATGAATGACTTGCTTGAGATTTCAGATCTTTTAGCTGAGTTTTAGGTTTTGGGACCTGATGTCATGGGTGTTGCAAAGCATCCAGGCTGCCTGGCTGTCTCTCAATGCACAAAGGTGGGGTCTGGCTTGGATGGTGTACTCAGGATGAAAATAAACTAAATATTTGGGCTCTGAATTCCAAAACAAATCGAATGTGGACTGAAAGTCCCCTGGAGTAGAAATCGGAGAAGAAATCAGAAGAATCTGATGAAGCATTAGTGCTCACCATTTTCTGGATAAAATCCAGAGTGCGAAATGGTCTCAGTCCCTTGTGGTCCCACAGAGATTCCTGTAACCTGCAAAGCAGCTGCCATTCATGTGTTCCTTTTTTCTCTTCCCATTTCTTGTTTTCAATGTTGTTTGGAAGAACTGTTGGCAGAGCTCTCCATGCCTGTATGGACTTGCAGACTCCTGGGCACTGCCTGCATTCCTTACAGACTGCTGGACGCTCCATGCTGTGATTTGGAAATCAAGATGCACTGGGAAGCTGTGAGGGAGGGAGTGGCTCGGAGAAGCTCAGGTGTGGGAGTGTTATTTCCAAATACTGGTGCTTTAAGTAATTCATATGTTAAAAGTACTGGTAAATCCCTGAGTGGGAAAAAGCCTGTTGAAGGCAGGATGGGGCTGAACTCATGCTCATGGCACAGCTGGCTCCTGAGTGATCCCTTCCAGGCTGGGATCCTGTCTGCTCCACAACTGAGAAGTGGTTTGAGCGAAGCCGTGCTGGCTCCGGTGTAGGAACGGCTGAGCTGTGCCACCCCCACCCTCCAAGTTACCTTTGTTTGCTTGTCTTTAATGAGAGATTATAAGAGATTATCTTTTCCCTTATTACCTGTTGCTCAGGTTTTTGGTTTGTTGAAAGTCTAATTAACCTTCCTGGTTCAGGAATGCTGATGGGAATTATTTTTTTCTATTTCATCTATGTGCTGGAGCTCCTTTTAGCATCTTTCTATGGCTTGGCGCCACAGTGCTCACAGAGTTATCTGAGGTTTCACTGGATGGGTTCCTTGCGAAAGGAATGGGATTTGGGTAGCAAACAAACAGTGGGTTGTTCTAACAAGAAGTGAGCAGAGATTGCCACAGGGTGGCTGAATAGACTGTTGGGTAAGGCCAAAAATAGTTCTCCACTTATATTGTCCTGCTCAAGTGCCTGGACGTCCTGATTAGACACTTTATGGAAATCCCCTGCTAAAAGTTCTCCTGGCAGAAGTTAGTATCCCTGTTAAAAAAATGCACATCCCAATAGCAACATTAATCCATAAAACACAGAACTGCCCTCCGTGCAGAGAAAAGCTCCCTGCCTTCCCAAGGAACAACCTTCCCAGAAGATAACACTCTGCTTTGCTGACTGCAAAGCAAATAAGGCTCACACACAAATCGGCTGAGGATGTTTCCATCCCCAAATAAAGATGGGGCTAAATGCCCTTTCTGTGCCTTGGCTGCCCTTGTGCAGCTCAGCACATCGCTGTACCTCTGAGGCAGGAGCTGCTGGGGTGGAGGCCACCTGCAGGGGTTGCCTGCTTGGTTTGGTAGGGTTTGTGCTGCTGGGGAGAAAGTAGAGCTGCAGGGTCCCACAGAAACGTGGTTGTGGATGTGGGACCTCTGGAGAGAATCCAGTCCCACCCCTGCTCAAGCAGGGTCAGCTGGAGCAGGTTCATCATCACAGAATGATTTGGTTTGTGAGGGACCTTAAAGATCATCCAGTTTCAACGCTCTGCCGTGGGAAGGGATGCCACCCACAAGGTGGGAAGGCAGAAGGCTGTGGTAGCAATGGGAAGATGCCACCTTTCATCCTAGCAGATGGATGCTCCCAGTTCTT